GTTGCTGAACGGCATGAAGGTGTTTTAGGACACTCTTTTAGTCCATAGTTGTTATACCTTTGTAAAATGTCTTCTTTATCTTTGTTAATTTTTCATTTAATTTTCCTTCTTTTATAATCCTACCTTGACTTTCTTTTTTTTTCTTTGACAGGCAGAGTGGATAGTGAGAGAGAGAGACAGAGAGGAAGGTCTTCCTTTGCCGTTGGTTCACCCTCCAATGGCCGCCGTGGCCGGCGCGCTGCGGCCGGTGCACCGCGCTGATCCGATGGCAGGAGCCAGGTACTTATCCTGGTCTCCCATGGGGTGCAGGGCCCAAGGACTTGGGCCATCCTCCACTGCACTCCCTGGCCACAGCAGAGAGCTGGCCTGGAAGAGGGGCAACTGGGACAGAATCCAGTGCCCCGACTGGGACTAGAACCATGTGTGCTGGCACCGCAAGGTGGAGGATTAGCCTAGTGAGCCACAGCACCGGCTCTACCTTGACTTTCACATTGTTGTAGTAACATTCTACTGAAGGGAAAAGTTTTCATCATCAGCTGGATGTATTAATAATTCCCAAACTATGGTTCCTAATCAAAAAACAAGAAGGCAGGAGCAATACTTCCATAACAAGAACTTCTATTTCACTTTTCTCAAATGGTCACAGCCCAAGCACCATGACTCCCAAGAATAGAGTATCTTGTCTGATGAAAGAATAGAATGATTACATTCTTTTACCCAATAATTTCATTTTTAGGAATTTATTCTAAGGAAATGAAAGGAATAGACCACAAAGACATAATGGGCACATAATGTTTCTCTCAGTGTTTCTTAAAATAGTAACCCACCAACAAATAAGCAGGAAAAAAATAGGGGGAAAATTCAAATCTCTATCAGAAAAGAATATATAAGTCATTGTTGGAGCACCCAACAAGATTAGTCTACACATTAGATCCTACAGTCCAGTGTCAACAAGAGAAGTGATCTCTTAAAATCACCAGAGACAAAGAAAGATCTCCATCCTTAAAATTCACTAATAGAGTTTCATTTATGCTTCTTATTTATTTATTGCAAAAATAGATTTCAATTAAAAATAAAATATATACATCATACATTCATTTACTATGAACAATGTGTGTGTGTTTTTTTTTTTAATTTGACAGGTAGAGTTATAGACAGTGAGAGAGAGAGAGACAGAGAGAAAGGTCTTCCTTCTGTTGGTTCACTCCCCAAATGGCCGCTATGGCCGGTGCTGCATCAGCCCAAAGCCAGGAGCCAGGTGCTCTTCCCAGTCTCCCATGCAGGTGCAGGAGCCCAAGCACTTGGGCCATCCTCCACTTTCCTCCCAGGCCACAGCAGAGAGCTGGACTGGAAGAGGAGCAACCAAGACTAGAACCCGGTGTCCATATGGGATGCTGGCACCGCAGGCAGAGGATTAGCCAAGTGAGCCACAGCGCTGGCCCCAACAATGTGTATTTTAAAAAATAAGATGGAAATGGGATTCAAAGGTAAGTTTATTTTGGTGCATTAAAATTTGAAATTCATGAATCTGGGTGATTTTTAAAAACTCATTGAAAATGTCCATTATAAAAATCTATATGGATATAAGTGTTTTTGAATCAAAATAATCTCTCAATGCATTTTACATGAATTTCTTGAATGGCCATTGTACATATTGTTTTGAAATTTATATACATTGTAAAATGGTTTAATAAAGTGAATTACCGTATAATCATAATGCATATTTTTAAAAGTTAAAATTCTTTAAATTTTTCTCAAAAATTTTGGAGAAAACATTTTTAAGTGCAGTCACCATGTTTCACTTTTTTGTTCATCTTCCAAATCTTTCCTCTTTTATCCATTAATTATACATCTATATTTTCCCCTCATTAAAATCTTTAAATTTGCTTTTCACTTCTGCAGCTTAGATGCTCTTTTCCTAGCTTCCGCACTGAAAGTTACTCCCCATTGCTATGTTTTAAGATCACGTATTATCCATTAGTGAGGACTTTCAAACTCTTCTGGCTAAAGCAACCCTTGTCCTTTCCACTGGGATCTATCACATTATTTTATTTTTTATCCAGAGCACTTCAAATATTTAAACTATTTTACACAAAGCTATAATTTATACCACTTTCTTCAAATATGCTCTATGAGGGCAGAATTTTGACATTCAGGCCACTCCAGAATGTCAAATTAATTAATAGAAAAATCAGGTATGTGAATCTCACTAGCATCAACGCAAGTTAGTAATTAGCCGGTAACACCATAAAGAAAAAAAACTGACAATCAGAGCAGTTCTGTTTGCTACGAAAGATTGATTTAGAAGCAACAACTCAGATGTAGCCAGTCTGGGCTGTCTGGGAAATTTTATCTGCTTCTCTAAAAGAAATCAAGATGTGATATATTTTAAGGGACCGTAGCCCTTTTGCAGACATGGAAAGGGTAGCTGATGGGCTGTGATTACCTGGGCACACAAGTGTAAAAAGTGGGTCTCTACTGGCTGAAGCACTAATTTACCAGTCAGTACATGTGGGTTTCAGAACTGGAGACACACGCAGCCTGTGATGGAAACAGGTTGGGAACACATGAAGGAATAAAGAGGATGCAGTAAACCAGTGCTTAGAGATTGTTTATAACCTTAAATGCTTATGTTAGAACAAAACACTGAAAATCAATCATTACAGCCCCCTTGTTAATTATAAACAAAAAATATCAGAGTATTGAAGAAGAGGAAGAAAAAAGAGAACGGCAGACATGTATGAAATGCTATACAATGTACCACAAATAAACAAGGACACAATGACTTTTTTTAAGAAAAATGTTAACAAAGTTAACCATTAGGAAAAAACAATTAAGGAACAAATGGGGAAAGTAACACAAATAACCAGTTTAGGAATTAAAACAGTATCATTCTTTTGTAGAGATTATAGCTTTGGGCAAGATACTAGAGAAAGATATGAAATTCCTAGGAGTAAAATTTGACTTCAGAGATCAATATCCACCCTATTTTGAAAATCAGGTTTCCAAAAAACAAATATAACATAAAATAGAAAAACTCCTATATAACCCAAATAAGTTGAATCACATTTTGAAAACTCCAAACAGTCAACCCAGAAAGTCACACAATGACAATTTCAGGTCCAGAATTAGAGAATACTTCAAAACTTTACAGAAGAAAAAACAAATTTACATTTCAAAGACCTACCCAAAGTGAAAATAAGCAAAGCCTATTTTTTAGTTTCTTTTGGAAAACCACCATTACAGTGAGGATGGTGCAAGCAGGCCAAGACTTGAAATTAAAAAAGGGGGCTGGCGCTGTGGCACAGCAGGTTAAAACCCTGGCCTGAAGTGCCAGAGTCCCATATGGATGCCGGTTCTAGTCTTGGCTGCTCCTCTTCCAATCTTGCTCTCTGCTATGGCCTGGGAAACGCAGTAGAAGATGGCCCAAGTCCTTGGGCCTTTGCGCCCATGTGGGAGACCCAGAAGAAGATCCTGGCTCCTGGCTTTGGATCAGTGCAGCTCTGGCTGTTGCAGCCATCTGGGGAGTGAACCAGTGGGAGGAAGACCTCTCTCTCTCTGTCTCTACCTCTCTCTGTAACTCTGTCTTTCAAATACATAAAATAAATCTTTAAAAAAGGAAATTAAAAAAAATAAATTTTTGGATCAAGACTTGAAATAAAAATTAAGTTTTTAAAAGCATCTCTTTTCGGCCGGCGCTGCGGCTCACTAGGCTAATCCTCCGCCTTGCGGCACCGGCACACCAGGTTCTAGTCCCGGTTGGGGCGCTGGATTCTGTCCCGGTTGCCCTTCTTCCAGGCCAGCTCTCTTCTGTGGCCAGGGAGTGCAGTGGAGGATGGCCCAAGTCCTTGGGCCCTGCACCTGCATGGGAGACCAGGAGAAGCACCTGGCTCCTGCCATCGGATCAGCGCGGTGCGCCGGCTGCAGCGCACCAGCCGCGGCGGCCATTGGAGGGTGAACCAACGGCAAAGGAAGACCTTTCACTCTGTCTCTCTCTCTCACTGTCCACTCTGCCTGCCAAAAAAAAAAAAAAAAAAAAAAAGCATCTCTTTTATAAACAGAGCTACTAATATCCTCAGAAAAGTATTAATGTAATAAATGAATTCATCTAAGAAAATATATCAATAGGAAGCAGGGACATAATAAAAAATGCAAGGGTGGTTAACATTCCCAGACAGGCCTTCCAGGCAGGTAAAAATCACAAGAAGAAAATCCCATGGTCATTTAGATTCCGTGTTGGAAAGCATTTAGTGAAGTTCAGCAGCTAGGAAAGAGAAAACTGCTAGCAGAGCAACAACAAAAAAGCCAGCGACTTCTTTACTGTGCCTGACAGTGAAATGAACCTACAGGAAATGACACAAATAATAAAGGCTCATTGAAAGCTTTTTTCCTTACAGTAAACCTAGGCCATGATTCCTGCACTCTCTCTCAGACTTTCTACTACAGGTGTAATAAAGGAAATAAAACAGCAAAAAGTAATTACATGGTATAAAGATCAATTTCTAAGTCATAAAATGTGAATATACTGGGTGATGCTTATATACAGAGATAATCCATAAAAATCTAAAAACTGATAAATGAGATTACTGGAAGAATTATACATACGTGTGTGTGTGTGTGTGTGTGTTCTAATTACTAAGTACTAGCAGAAAACAGAAAATAATAATAAAGGACAGGCAGACTAAAAAAAAACAAGTGAAATTGGAGGATTCAATTTTGTGATATCCTTAAATATTCTTTAAATCAATACTTAAAAAACTACAGATGATTCAACAGAAAAAGTATCACATAGATGATGAAAAAGAAAGGCTCTGAAGCCAATAAACAGCCATTAAATGGTAACCGACCTGAGTTAGTTTACTGCAAGCTCCAAGTAGGATCCTCTCAGGAAGATGAAGGTGGGAGCCCAGCAGTGAACAGGACCAGAGAGGAGATCCCACCTCTCGCTGCAGGGAGGGTGGCGCACAAGAGGATGAAGTTTCAGAAATGAGCCCAAGACTCCTTCTTGCTTCTGCCTCCAGCAAGACCTGGAGTTATGCAGCACACTGATTGGCTGCATCTTTTATGACGTGGTGCATCCTCACAGCTAGGCAAGCTGTCCAATCAGGTGTGGTAGCATAAGTGCTACGTAATCCCATGGAATCTTGACATCATAGTAGTCAACCAGTTCCGTGGTGGAGAGGCCCTAGGAGGGGCTCCAACACTCAGAACTCTGAATGTAGCCCACGTCCATTGTTCTCGTACCTTCTTCCATCGCAGGAAGCTGCTCATCTAGGACCTCGGGACATGGTGTGTGGGGCCGAGCTTGAGGAGAGGGGAAGGCAGGGTGGGGAAGTTGTCAGAAAAGGCTGGCAGGATGTGGGTTTCCCAGAAGTTGTCGCTGGAGCCTGTAGGCCCCCTCTCGTTGCTGATACAACCCTCCACTCAGCCCCTTCTGGTCTGCAGTACGGGGCCTGGACTGGCACCTGGGACCCCAGCGTCCTGTTCCTTTCCTGCTCACAGTCCAGGGGCCATCCCTGGGCAGCTGTTGGTGGCATCCCCTTGTCTTCCCCGATTGTGCAGTGGGGACAGGATGGTCATTATGGAGCATATGGGTTGTGTGCTGGGTTCCTGCAGTGAAGAGCTGTCACTTATGGGATCCTCAGTTCCTCTTCTCCCCGGGGTGACAGCATTCCCCAAGTTTTCTGAATAGTTCAGAAGCTGAGTCTCAGTTCATGGCCCCTGACTTCTTAGCGTACCTCTTTCTGGGAGTCTCACCACGTTTTCTGTTGGTAACAACAGCGTCACAGACCAGGTAAGTTAATGAAACAGTTTTATTTTGATCAGGGCTTTGGTTGAGGTTTTAGGGGGACAAGACGACACTGTATTTTGGTCTTGGATGTCATCTGAGCCTTTACATGTTCCCTGAATTTTCAAATAAGAAATTTTAGCTAGTCACATTTATCAATGTTTTTAAAACTGTTTCTGTTCCATGAAAACCTTCCCAACCCCAAAGATATAAACCTTTTTTTTTTTTGAGTTTTAATTTTGATGTAGGGTGATTGTTTTCAAAGTTATTGGAGTATAATTGACAAACAAAATTTGTATATATTCAAGGCCTGCACCTTGATGTTTTGATATGTGAAGAGACTTTTTAAAAATTTATGGAAATTTCACTGTTTAATCCTGTTTTTCCAAACCTTTTGAAGTTCCCTTGTACATATACATTCTGAAATGATTAGGAAAATCAAACTAATATATCCATCACCTTACATAGTTTTTAAAAGAAAACCTAGTGCCTTAACAAGTTGTGAATATCTAATCATATATTCATAACATTTCTGAGCTGTACATTATCTCCTAACTGTAAATGTGTGTCATTCAACTAACATCTTCCATTTCCTTCTCTCTCAGCACCTAGCAACCACTATTCTCTTCTGTGCTTAAGTCTGACTTTCTGAGATTCCATAAATAAGGGAGATTGTGTGGTATTTATCTTTCTGTGACATTTCAATCAGGCCAATGATATATTCAAACTTTTCAATCCAGATTGTGACAAAATGTCAGAATTTCCTTGTTAAGGTTGAATGTGACTCCATTGTGTGTGTCTGGCATTTTCTCTACTCATCTGTTGATAGACAATGTTTGTTTATATATCTTATTCGTGTGAATAATGCTCACATGAACATGGTTGTGCAGTTGTATCTTTGAGATAGTAATTTTATTTCTTTAGATGCACATCCAATAGTGGGAATGCTTTATCATTTGTTAGCTCCATTTTTAATTTTATTTGAGACACCTCCATAGTGTTCTCCATAGTGGATGTACTAATTTACTTTCTATAAACAATTTATATGTTCCCTTTTCTCCAATGCTGGTTCAATATTTATGTTTTTTTACTTTTTTATAATAGCTATTTTTACATACGTGTGATCATAACCATTGTGGTCTTGAGCGCAGTGCTGAGACCCTTTTAAATGCCTGTTGGCTGCTTATGGAAAAACTGATCCGATCCTTTGCCAATTTTTTATTACAATATTTCCTTTTGAATTGTGTCTATTCTTTATATTAATCCTTTAATCAGCTATGATTTGCCAGTATTTTCTCTCATTCCTTGCTTTTACTTTTCAGCTTTTCCTTTAGTATGTAGAACTTTATTTTTTTGCAGTCCTACTTCCTTATTTTTGCTTTTGTCACCTGTACATTTGCAGTCATACCTAAATCATTATAAAAGTCTGGCAAAGCCACAGTTTTAGATGTTGGTGATTTGAATCAGTGGATGAGAATGTCCTCTCTTTCTCTCTCCTTCTCCCTCTCCCCCTCTCTCTCTCTGTTTCTCTGTGTGTCTCTTTTTCTTTGAAACTAATTAATTGAGAAATTCTTTAAAAACTTCATGGAGTAATTGGTACCAAATCAGAGCTAGATGATAGTGAGTTCCTTGTGTTACATAGCATTGTGGGTGACTATAGTCCACTGTAAGCTATCCCATATTTTAGGAACAAATAGAGGAAAGGTGCTCCAAGGCCCTGAAGTATAATGTCAGAGAAGGGAAAATGTTGTTTACCTCCAATCTATTCAGTACAAATTGTATGCATGAATTAAAATCTCTCACTGCAGTCCATAGGTATGCATAATTATTGTCAACAAAATAAACTCAAAACATCGTTCTTGGTGTATAACATTAAGGGGTGTTAAAATACTTAAATTAGTATCACAACTAAAATTCTGATCTTTGGAAGCAGTTTATTCATACAAACATAATCTAGAAATATGTGAATTGGCATTTTTTAAAGATTGATTTTATTTATTTGATAGAGTTACAGAGAGAGGTAGAGACAGAGAGAGAGGTCTTCCATCTGCTGGTTCACTCCTCAAATGTTCACAATGGACTGAGCTGAGCCTATCCAAAGCCAGGATCTTCTTCTGGGTCTTCCACATGAGTGCAGGGGCCCAAGGACTTGGGCCATCTTCTACTGCTTTCCCAGGCCATAGCAGAGAGCCGGATCAGGAGAGGAGCAGCAGGACTAGAACTGGTGCCCATATGGGATGCCGGCATTCAGGCCAGGGCTTTGACCCACTGTGCCACAGCACCATCCCCATGAATTGGCATATTGTCATTCTAAATGGAGTGATTAGGAGGCAGTATTTTACCTTACAATGGTAATTAATACAACTTTTTAATTGTTTCATATAAGAAAAATGAAGTATTTCTTTAAGAGTATATGGAATTAGGGGTGGAGCCAAGATGGCAGAATAGTGAGGATGCGCACTGATAATCCGGGAAAAGATAGGTTGATAAAAGAGGAATTACGGTAATCACAGGGAAAGGCTTGGGGGAAAAAATGTAGAGGAAACCCTTCTGGATCTAGTGGATGTGGCACAGACCAGCGGGCAGAGCAGGGACGCCCACAGCTCTGAGTCCACACATCGGCACTGGAAGGGGAGGTGAGCTCAGTAACCTGAGACATTGGTGGGGAAACGGCGGACAGAGTCTAGAGGGAAGCAGGCTTTTGGAGGGAAAGTTCATCAGACTGACTACAGGAGAGAAGGAAGAAAAAAAAAAGTCGGGAGGTACTGGTATGGGCAAGTTTCTCTCTCTACTGACCTTGCAAAGGTGAGCAAGAGACAAAGAGCAGGTGCCATTCTGGATATACATAACAAAAGTGTAGAGCTAATGAACTGAGGTGCTACAATTCAGTGGCCTAGGCAACCCAGTGGGAGTCCGCAGGAGAAACTGAGCCCACACAGATTCTTTGGGCAGAAGCCAGAGATTGGAAGCTAAATACCATCAATTCTGCTCAGCTGTGTGGTATTACTTACCTCCTGATAAAAAAAAAAATTATGGTGACTTGATCAGCCCTCACCCTGACTGCTGATGAGCAACTTGATATGTTATCCCTCTTAGTATTTTGTTTGTTTGTTCTACTTAATGCTTTTGGTTGAATACTATAATCAATACACAATTATTCTTAAGTGCTGAAAATTAACTGAAAAATGATCACTGTTAAATATAAAAGTGGGAATAAGAGAGGGAAGAGATGTGCAATTCGGGACATGCTCAAGCTGACTTGCCTCAAACGGTGGAGTTAGAAACATACCAGGGGATTTGAATTCAATCCCATCGAGGTGGCATGTACCAATGCCATCTCACTAGTCCCAGTGATCAATTTCTGTTCACAATTGATCATAATGATAGGACTAAGAACCAAAGGGATCACATAAACAAGAATAGTGTCTGCAAATACTAGCTGATAGAATAAAAAAGGGAGAGAATGATCCAACATGGGAAGTGAGATACACAGTAGACCCATAGAATGGCAGATGTCCTAAGCAGCACTCTAGCCTCAGAATCAGCCCTAAAGGCATGCGGATCCAGCTGAAAAGCCCATGAGAGTATTTCAGGCATGGAAAGCCAAGACACTCTAGGGAAAAAAAAATGACCTAAATGAAAGATCTCCGCGAGTGAGATCCCAGTGGAAAGAACGGGTCATCAAAGAAGGAGGTGCCTTTCTCTGAAGGGAGGAGAGAACTTCCACTTTGACCATGGCCTTGTCTAAATATGATCAGAGTCAGTGAACTCAGGGGGCTTCCATAGCCTTGGCAGCTCATGACAAGAGCCTAGGGTGATTACTGAGGCCATAAACAAGAGTGTCAATTTGTTAAGTCAACAACAGGAGTCACTGTGCACTTACTCCTCATGTAGGATCTTTGTCCTAGTGTGCTGTACATTGAGATTTAATGCTATAACTAGTACTCAAACAGTATTTTTTTTTTAAACTTTTATTTAATGTATATAATTTTCCAAAGTACGACTTATGGATTACAATGGCTTCCCCCCCATACCGTCCCTCCCACCCACAACCCTCCCCTTTCCCACTCCCTCTCCCCTTCCATTCACATCAAGATTCATTTTCGATTATCTTAATATACAGAAGATCAGCTTAGTATACATTAAGTATGGATTTCAACTGTCAAACAGTATTTTTCACTTTATGTTTCTGTGTGGGAGCAAACTGTTGAAATCTTTACTTAATGTATACTAAACTGATCTTCTGTTAAAAAAAAGAAGAAGAAATTAGCAATTCCCTACTTGACTCTCACTGGGATTAAACATGGCAATAGGTCTGATCTGAATTCATCATCATTTAAAAAATCATCTATTATTTTTCACTTTATGTTTCTGTGCGGGAGCAAACTGTTGAAATCTTTACTTAATGTATGCTAAACTGATCTTCTGCATATGAAGAGAATCGAAAATGAATCTTGATGTGAATGGAAGGGGAGAGGGAGTGGGAAAGGGGAGGGTTGTG